AGTATGAGATCACAAAGCAAAACTTCTACCGTGACCTAGGTGGTAAAACATTGAGATTTGATTTTGACAGGATTTCCAGTATTTACGTCAGATAGTACATTTAATCAGTTACTGCTGTTCGACGACAAGCCAATGTGACTGATGGATTGAAAATTAGATAAACAATACAATCATCGGACTTAATATTGCATTTTCAAAATAGTCTAGGTGCTTTGAGATTCCTTCGAAGTGAAGAGAACATGTAGATTTGAAAGGATACGTTATCTTAAGAAGACAGTTATGGATGGTGTTGGTATGTGTGCCTGTTATCAGAATTCACATATACAATAGAGATGCATTTGCCGTAAGGAGGAGAGTATTGCTACCAATATATTGGTCTTGGTTTTGTGGTCTGTGGTTTAAAGTTTACTTCTTTGTTTGATGACCGGATGTTGTGTTACTCACTAGCCCACTGGTTTTGTAACAGCAGAAGGCGAGACACGGTAGTCAAAATATATTTTCAAGTGATCAAGCCGCTGTTTATACCTATACAGTTTATATTCTTTTACCAATCACTGATTGGGTGATATTTGTGTCTTTTATACGACGTGAAATGAACTCTTCGAACGCATATATCATTCTGGTGATAACGTAGTATTGAACTGTGTGAATATGAGAGAATAATATTCCGTTCTAACGCATTATATCACTCCACCACAGTTGGACTCTTTGTTTTAGTTTTACTCATGAATTCAGTCATTGTTCTGTCTGTATCTCCAACGGTTAGTTGAATATAAATGATTGAATTCTGTTTTGAAATGTGGGATAATGCTTCTCACCTTTGTTCCAATTGTCATGGACTTTAGCATGTCTGTTTGTCTGTTTTTGGCATACTTTAGCATGTACAGGAAGACACCAATTAGAGAATACGATGACTTGATATTACTTCATATGGCTTTTTCTACACTTCCCGTGGAAATCTGTTGTCTTTTGTATATATACAGCATTGATTATCAGAATACCAATAATTCCTGGTTGTTGAAGAAGCGGAGTAGTGCATATGATCATGAATGTTCACTGGTGTAAAGACACATCAGATGAGATCTCACTTTCTTTATGTTTAATCAATGCGGAGAGAAGGAGACGCCTTATCTGCACGCCAGTGTGTGAATAATGACCACTACAACAGTGTAGTATATATATCTCGGTTGTCTCCTACCTATTTTTGGAGTGAGTCAGTTGTCTGGTTGTTTTGTCACTTTTCTAGCTCATATTGATTAGTTTACAGTCAGTGTAACAACAGAAGACAAGGGCCAGGCAACAGACAGATCGTTTATTAAGGAAATCAAGACATGTTCATATATTTTCATGTACATTATTATAATATATATTTAAGCAAACAAACACAAACTTCTGATTAGTTGTTTCGCACTGGAAGTTAACCTTGCACCTCTTTGTGGCTGTTCCTTGAATGTCAGATCATGTATATGCTAACTGTATCCGCCTACGCAAGGTCTGTGTTCTCATTTTTCCCTCCACCAATATTGGGGGCATAAACATTGACGGAAATTACTGTCCACCAACTTTGGCTAGCAGCCAGCTCTCACCACATCAGAATTTCTTTGTTGGAAGGAGAATGTTGATGGTTAACATACTGCTCATCAGGACTGATTGTTGTTGCTATTGTTAAGATAGGAAACCTTGGATTCAGTCCATATTGTGGAAGTAGCGACAACACTGTGTATGTCAGACACGTTTTCTTTAATTTTTATGTCAACTGAATGATGTTGAAATGTCCTGTGTAGAGTATGTAGGCGCTTTCATCAGTCGTCTTGTTGCATCTACGAGTGACTGAAGACTGATTCAGTCCACAAACCTTAGCTATTATTATCATTAGTAGTATTATTGTGATAACTAGAGGTTGAGGTAGATTTTCGTGTTCTGAATGAAGTCGACTCTGGTCGATTGTTGCTATAAATGTGTGAATAGTAAATACAATTCAGGAATATTTTGACTGAGAGATACAGAGAGGCCTTAGATAGCTCCCTGAGAAACAATAACGTCATAATCACAAAACCTGCTAGGGATTAATGAGTGTTAATCATAGAGGTAACAGACTACTTCGAGAAGAGATGAGTGTTATTCGTAATGACCAATTAGAATTCCAAACAAATCTGATGTTTTGATAAGACTGAGAAGATTGAGATGGAAGCAGTTTATTCTTGAAGGAGACTGAAACCAGGAGGCTGTGTTTGACCAAGTTTGTATGCACTATTAGAGCTGACTGCGATGTTTATGCTGACGTTATACAGTTTGTCGAAAGTTTACACAATTGGTTTTCGACTGAGAACAGTAATACATTGAATCTGCTAGTCAAATGTTTGGTCGAAGTCCTAAAGCCTCTATATACTGCTGTGGAATATACGAGTTCATGAATACGATATTACATCTCCCTTTATGGTCATCCAAAATGTATGTATGTATAATGGCCTACCCCTCATTATTGCACTTGTATTAACAAACCTTTTCATTTCTTGATCAAAATCAATCATCAACTGACAGACATAACGTGGTATCCCATTTTCTTCGCCTGTTTTCGATATTATCATTCATCCATGTGGAGTTTATATTGATTATATGTAGAATTCATTGTATAACTGTAGAACCTGATGAAGTTATCGAAAGAATATTTTTTGCTCAGCAATCAATGTTTTGAAATCTATTTGGTGAAGCAAATATTTCCCGTGACCAGTTTCGGTCATCTATGCTCTCCATGCCACATGACTCGATTTAATATAGTGAAAATAGTGTCATAATGAAACGAGTGCTGATGTATATGTCCATCTTATTGGAGACGAAGTTTAGTGACTGTGTGATACATTCTGAAAGAGGTAGTTAAAGATATAATTGGGAGGCGAAATCTCCCTTATTATTGGTGTTGGTTCCTGTTGAGATGAAGAGTTAATTTCGAGGTTTTTCACATGTAGGTGTACAGGTTTGTTTTGATTGTTTCACTCGTATCGGAGGATTTTTCGTGTTTTCTTGGCATCGCTGAATTATTGATCGGCCCAGTGTGGAATTGACTAAATTTTTATATTCATCCGGAGTAGATGAAATATCTTTGTGTTTAATGTGAAACTGGACATTTCATAGTCAGTAAGTAGTATGTCTTTGTGGCATTAAACCTTCCACCAGTGAATCACATATTCAATCATTGTTGGAGCTACTATGTTTTCATCTGTCAGACGGTGTATTCTTGGTACCGTGTATCTTGTTTCCCAGGTTGACAGGATTCGTGAAGTTTGGTCAAACTGGCTTCCAGGCGTATAATTGACGTTTGCATATTCCACTATTAATTTCTGTGTTCATTACGTTTATTATTTAGGGTGAGTTGGTATAGACGGAATTTTTCTTTAGACATATACTCGGTGGGTTGTAGTGTCTGGTGGGAGTGTGCAGAATGAATCGTGTGAGTTTAGTCGCCCGGATATCTGCTTAGATTCTGTTTTGGAAATCTGAGTTGGTGAAGAAAAGTCTGTGTTATGCTACCGCTGCATTGATAATCTCGGTCAGATTTCTTGTATTGTATCCATGGTTTTAGTGGTCTTCTTTGCTGTAACTTCAACTGAGTATTAGGGATGAATGTGTGGTTATTGTTTTGAAGTGAGTTAGTGTCTGCAGTGTCTACATTGAGGCTGTTTGGTAAGTATAGATTTCTTGTATGTACTGAGTCTCTCATGTGTAAATTCCTAAGTTGTTGAGTCAACATAGAAGGTGATTATGAAGTCGTTGAATATTGTAAACCATATTGATAAGAAGTTGACCGAGCGTCGATCTTCGTGAATAATGTCTGAACTGTAGGTTGACAGCCTCGTTAGCTGCCCCAACGCAGGTGTCAATAAAATGGGTGAGCCACTGACTGTTGTCCATTGTTCTCCTTTCCACGATGAAATTGAAATGCTTACAAAAATTGATTGGTGTCTCGTCGAGTTTGTAAATTAGATTCCGGGTATTCCACCGAAGCTGAGGAGATGTTGAAGGAGTGAGTGAATATTATTCTTCTGTGAGTATGACTACGAGCTCTGTTTTTGATGTTGTAGTGCAGCGTTGTATTGTTGGGATTGGGAATCGGTGCTCGCTGAGACTTTACTTTAGCACGTTGAAATAAGGTCTACACAGTTTTGATAATTGAACCTTCAGCTTTATGATCCGTGTATGAATATCGTTTAGAGAATAAACATTGGAGTCTTCAGCCACACTATATTTCATCTAAATATCGTTACTACCCATGTCGACTTTACGGAGGTTCTTTGTTCCAGCTGTGAAAGTATGTGTTTTCTGGCTAACTGCATGTACATTATGCCCACTCAGGAGTTCGAATGGATCTGTACTTGTATATTGTTGGAAGTTTATGAATCGTTGATACTCATGAGCTATTTAAATGAGAGTAAGAGACCGTTGTTTTTCGGAAAGATTGAAGAGCTTTTTTCTCATATGGTCAATCTTAGTTGACTTTAGATTGTAGATGAGTGTTAGTGTCTTGAAACGGTCATCCTCGAGGACTTCAATTTGAAGCGTCACAATTATAATTTGATTAGTATTACGTGATTAGTTATAGTTGTGTGGTGTTAGGCATTCGTAGTCAGTTTTCATTTGTGAATTGAATACGAAATAGCAATCAACAATTGTGGTGTATACTTCGGCATTACATTGTTATTCCTAACTTCTTCGAAGGATTTCTGAGAAAATGTGAGTTACACCAGTTACCACCTAATGACCGGAAATGATATCTTGTGTAGTAGAATAGGATATGCCTCCTATAGCCGTCTCACCAATTTTGATATTACTGAAGGGATTATCATGAGAAACCCATGCTCCCCTCGGTTAATTCAACAGATTCCATGTCACTACACGGAATGTGGCGACTTGAACTTCCGCACATTTGTGCAAAGTTCTATGTCGAAAACAGACAGATTCCATGTCACTATGTTACCCTTCCCATTTTTCGTATTCATAATTAGGTAAAAGATATCGGTGTGACGTGTGTGGGAAGGAATCCACTCAAGCTGGCCATTTGAAGAAACACATGGAGTCAGTCCATGGAGGTGAGTTTGTTGTTTTGTGTATTTATTATTCACCACAGTTTCATGTTGACTTGATGAATTTCACACTTCACTATTGTGTCACAGACATATGACCAATGTGGTTCCGTTTTGTGCATTTGAAGTGATTGATGCAGGTGTAGAGTGTAAGTGTTCTGCCTACGATTCGGTAATTTTGCTAGAATTTCCTTTGTAAAATGCATTTCGGAGAATCAGCTTTCACGATTTTTTTCGTTGGTGATTGCCATGACTGAAATAGCAGGACATATCTTGTTAGTTTAGTCACCGCTGATTTCGTGTAGTTTGTTCTTGTAAATTCACTCACTTCCTTGGTTAGTGGTCGTATGTTGTGTGACTAACTCACTAACCCACTGTCTCGACTACCTTTCTTTTAATTTTAGCAATGGTGTGGTTGATTGTGGTGTTTATATCGTTGACGGATGATGGTTGAATGTGAATGGCTTTATTATGTCGTGAAGTGAAATAATGTAATGCTAACTGCTGTTTCACTTGATGAACTGTAACGCTTCATTAAGGACACCGTTTATGGGAAACGGTGAGAACTCTATAATTCATTTGAATGTCTTCACTTCCATGCATTGTGTGTATCGAAAAGTAGAAATGTAAATAGTAAATAGTAGTTATAGTAATAAAGCTTTATTTCAGAACATATGTACGGTGTAAAAGAAAGCATCTTAGAGAGAATTCACTACATCATTGATACCCCATGTTTCATAGTGTGCCAGCCAGTCGATTGGGCACGCACGTACAAGGGTGTATGCAACTCAGTGTGTGAAGGAAAGATGCAAATAGGAGGGATTTATAATTTTTCCCAAATTCCACTTCACTTGAAAATGTCATGGAGGATGAAATTGATCAATTCATAATTCATGGAAATTTCTTTTTATCTCTCCTCTTATGGGATGTTCAGTTCATCTAAGTGTCACAGTGGCAATCTGTGTTTTAGATGACTAAAACGTGTCTCTCATACGATGTATGAAATAGCAACTATATCTTTGCGATCTTCAAGTAAGACATTCAAACAGAATCCTCGTTGTTAAGAGCGTGTTACGAGGAGATAAATCACTTATAGAACCGTTTAGATAGTGTTGACTGGTGACGGTTTACAGTCGTGTCACGGAAAGAATTCATAACTGTGATCATTTTAATGATGTAATACGAAGGAAATAAAAATTATCAGTTGTCTTATTTAAATTACATCTTTACTGTTTAACTTCTGTCTTAAATTGTTTCTACTCTTCAGGGAAACCAAAAAAGGATGTTAAATCATAGAAAGCAGCATGCAGTTGAAAGAAGAAAACGATTGCCGGCAGAGTCAAGGATATTTGTGTTCTTTTTTATACAATCATACTACTTTTTCACTACTTAAATAAACTGTTTTCTAGTACTTGAGAAGTATTTTTTTATGATATACTGCGTCAATTTCGCCATTCTGAGTTTGTCGTCGTCGTCGTTACCATTTACTAAACAGTTTCATCAAAAATATTAACGTCAAAAGCGGATTAAAGTATGTGATTCCCTTCACATGTAACAAGTATATTATAAATCGCTGTAGCTTCTGCTCATTGACATTTTTCCTAGATAAATAGAGCCTGACCTCTCAGTGTGAGAATAGTATTTTGACGTGGTTTTGTTCTCTGACCTGAATAAGTTTACTCACGAAGCTTTTATTGCCTTACTACTGGGCAACATCTTCAGCGCATACTTCAATACGGAGTGAGACGTTTTAAATTTATCCACGAGTTTATTAGTGATTGACTGTTCTTCTCCGTTTTCACACCCTCTAGTCTACTTGTGTATCGTGATTTGTTTGTTTCCTTGACCTGAAGTTTGACTTTTTATTATGCGTGTGATATTCGTCTCATGGATTGGTAAATTTCATCATTCATGTTAATGTGCCTGTGTTGGTCACTGACTCAGTGGAATTCCAGGCTTCTAGAAATTCCCTGGCATTCTTGGTGTTGTTTCCTCTGTCTAATATTTGAACACTGGTTGTTCCAGTTGAATTAATGTCAGTGGTGGTTCTCTGTATGAGATGATGTGAGCGATAGAGAGTGGATATCACATCTTTTTTGACGGCTAGCTGATGATCATGGATACGAAGAAGAATACAACGAAGAGGGTGTCTTCCACTTTGGCCAATGAAAATTATCGGAGCTTTCGTCATGCTAAGAAGATATTTTTGTGTGGCAAGTGCACTCAATTCAAAATTCTTTAATGACAAAATATTAGACATGATAAATAATCAAAGTTGACGAATGCTCTTAAAATACTGAGACAATTATAGTATGATGTACAACAAAAACACTTCTATCAAAACTACCAGGCGGTATGTAGTCAACAGGGTATATGTCCTTTAGTACTTCTTACTGAGGATTTTCTTAATGACTATATTATGGAAGGTAGACTTCTCGTCGAATATGGAAATGGGATCAGACAGACTCGACAGTTTTCAAGTATCGGTAGGTAGGAATTTTTAATTTGATGATTAGTTGGAGGATTTGATCATTAGCTGTGACATCGATTAGATAATCACTGAAAAACCTCCATCTAGGAGTCTTGAACAGCTAGCTGTTTCATCCTAGTGCTTGGGACTGACCGTTCATTCCTTACACCTTGTAACCAGAAGGCCTTGGCACCGAACCTTAGTGGTGCGTATGAGTATTTCTAAAGAGCCCCAAAGTAGACTGACGAAACAGAACTGTCTGTCCAGTACTCCCAACTGGTTTTCCAGCCATTCTGTAACCGATGTCAGCTTATGATGAAATCCTTCAGACTATAAAACTTTGGAGAAAATAATCCTCAATCCAGGTATATATATACACAGAGGTATAAAGCTTCACATTGTCACAGTATTTTGAAGGTTATTCGAACAAGAAATTACGGCCTATATGTACCACGGTTTTACAAAACTACAGTAACAAACTCATTTGGAAGAGCATGCGTGATAACAGCAGTAGAATGATAAGACTATCAAGAAGATTAGAACTTCTTTGATTAATAATAATCATAATTTTTTCCTAATTCCAAAAACAGTATTAGTGATACAGCAAGGAAGTTTCAGCATTCAGTACAATATTGCATCTAATTTGCTCAAAAACGACAGAAAAATAATAAACTTTAGAGAATAATAATAACAAAAAGTTGTTATAGCAGCTATGTAGCAAATTACAGTATGCGATACGGAGAAGAATATGCATAAAGGATAAAACTGAAGTAATAATAGTAATAACAACTAAAAAAAATAGCTAAGTTATAAAAAAAACGATAGAAAGGGTGACACCATAAAATTACAGAAAGGTGAGCGAACAATGAAAGGGTCGATTCACTTTGCTAATTACGTAGTAATTTATATGTTTCATGTCTAACAGTCACATAAAGTACGGGCTAAATAAGGTACTGTAGAATTTTTGTACTTAGTGGTGCGAGCATATAACTTCTTATATTGACTTCTTGTCCCACCTGATTAGATGCAAGGGGATAGTTGTGAATAAAGGGGGTGCAGGGGAGTCTGACAGTACGGCCTTTGTCCATTTTGTACAGGCTATTATATGTCTTTCAACTATAATATTGGCCAGCTCACGCAGTGGCACACCACAAGCCCTTCGTAATGTGATATAGTCTTTTTTGAGAAGCCCGGGAAAGCTCGATGGAGAACAATAGAGTACAATAGGTAAAATACAGGAGTTTACAAACTGCAGAAGTAAAGGTTGGTTGATACCTGACTGTCTTAACTTTTTAATGTAGAAGGTAAGACGAAACATTTTCTTAGAGATAGATAAGATGTGGGATTACCATGAAAGGTGAGATAGGAAATAACTAATCCAAGATATTTAATGCTTGACTTGGTTTCAGTTTCAGTGTCATCTATGCTACAGGTATGATGGGAATTAACTAGTTCATGTATGTCTCGTTGATGCTTGAAAGTGAAATGAAGTTAACTGCCTGACATTTGGAAGGATTTAACTTAAGGCCATTTGACTTAGACCACTTAGTGATGTCAAACAGAATGCTATTAAGTTAGTTTGGAGCTGTCAGACGGGAAGTGATAGGCAGTGATACAGTCACATCATCCGCATATTTGACAAAGTTAGTTTCGTTTAAATGAGGCATGTGGTGTAGGAAGAAAGAAAAAAGAAAAGGAGAGAGGACGGTACCTTGAGGAACACCGGATTTCGTAAGCGAGGTAGAAGAAGATTTGCCACTATATACAGTATACTGCGTGCATTCTATCAGAAAAATACGAATGCAGCCGACTCTTTGGCCAGGATCCTGTTTTCATCAACGTAAGCTTATTTAATAAAAGGCCCCTAGGTACAGAGTCAAAAGCAGATGTGTAGTCTAGGAAAGCACCACGAACATATTTGGCACCTTTGTCCAAACAAGAAACAACATTATGATATAACACAACCGCAGCATCCAAGATACTTCTACCATGTTTGTATGCAAATTGTTTAGAATCATTAAAAGGTTTCAAAGCAGGTTCAAGACGAAGTAAAAGTAATTTTTCCAGCAATTTTAAAAAGGAGAAGTATTTGCAATAGGTCTGAATTTATTATCACTACCAGAAGATGGTATGTATTTGACCTGACAATCATTTGCAGACAGGGTTTTAGATAAACTAAACTGTTTTGTTTCAACGGCCCGATAGGATTGATCTAATTGTTTCTAATTGAGTTTGTGGTTAGTTTGAATTCCAGTCAGTTTTATTCCTGCCAACCTTGGTAATAATTCTGCGTAAGGTGTTTCCCGAGGTTCCTTCCTTGTATGGAATTACTGCTGATGATCTAGATTCCTTATCGTTGGTGTCGTCCTTACTATTATCATTAATATTATTATGATCACTATTATTATTACCATTAATATTGTTATTAATATTATTATTACTACTATCGTAGCGATAGTATCATTATTTATTTTATTTTTACATTTCCCTACATGCCTTCTGTTTGATTTATCAGGGTTATTATTAAGTCTCAATGCTTCTCTTATATGTCTCACTTCCTGTCTTAGATTTTCCTTGGTACTACTTAGATTTTGTGCTCTGTCACTTGAACATTTCATCAACCCTTTTTTCACTGAAATAGAAAGGGATGATCGGAAGTTCAATTATCTGTTTGAACGTATGAGTTTCCTGCTGACACTAGTGTTTAACTTCCCATCTTCTTTCCTTTTTACGCTGCAATCTAACATGGGAAACTGCCCTTCTTGACTTTCCAATTCATAAGTGAATTGAATTGCCTCTACCTTCGAAAAATCTATATATATCCTGTATTCTGAGTACAGTGATTGTGTCACGTACATACCTCCAACATAAAGTGTTTTTATATAAAATCTGTATGAAAACGCAATGTTATTAACAAACAGTAGTAGGTGGATGGTAATATAAGGATGACGAGAATAATAATAATAGTAGTAAACTTATATGTTAAAAGGAAGCAAAATTATGCTGAGAACGTTACTCTGGCCATGGTAGACTGAGGGAATGTATGTGGTGCTTTTGAATGCAGAAGTTCGGTTTCAGATCCCGAAAAGCCAATGATTCTGCCATATACAGATGGCGTATTCAAAAGTCCTTTCGAACGATACTGAGAGACTGTATCAGATGCGTGTGGTCGATGTGCAGAGTTGACAAGGTGTTCTAGGATGGAGCTGCTAGTATTCTTCTTTTCTCCCCTGTTTAGGCAGCTAACCAAGTTGGACAGTGTGTTCGAGAATATGTTTTCAGACTTGACGTTGCATACGTCCGATATTCTTTGCTAAAACACACGAACAAGTAAACTGATAAATACATGCGGTGAGAGCTGGCTGTTAGCCAAAATTGGTGAACAGTAATTTACGTCAATGTGTATATTTATAGTAATGTACATGAAAATCAATAAATATGTTTGCATGGAGGATTTAATCATGAGCTTGTACCTGTTCCATGGAAAGACATTAAAATAGTCCCTGTCCCTAAACCTGGAAATAGCAAGAACGTAAAGTTCAGACCCATCGCCATCACTTCCCCGTTTCTAAAGCTCATGGGAAAACTAGTACTTCTTAAACTCGAACCCTCCCTTAAAAACTTCGAAGACCCCAAACAATTCGCCTACAGACAGGGTAGGAGCACTTTAGACGCTGCAGCCGTCTTACACAACGGTATTGTCTCATCATTAGACAAAGGTGCCAAATATGTCCGCTGCACGTTTCTTGACTTTACTTCTGCTTTCGACTCTGTACCTAGAAGTCTCTTGCTAAATAAGCTCTCCATGACACAAACCGAGTCCTGGGTCACTAACCGGTTGCATTCCTACTTTTCAAACAGAATGCAGTACACCGTATACAAAGGCCAATCCTCCTCTGCTGTGCTCACAGAAGCTGGTGTCCCCCAAGGT